CCCTGTTGTTCCAAGGGCATGTTATTTAAACTGGGAAATAAACAAAACAAAACAAAACATTCTGTAAGAAGATCTTGGCAAACACTTCCCAAAACCTGCCAGGAAAACTGCAGAAATACAGCTGCAATGAGTTTACTTTACTCAACAGCATCCTTACTTTATTTTTTTCCAGGATTATTAATGGAAGTCCTAAAGCAGGGGTCTTCAAACCTGGTCCTTTTATGATTTGTGGACGTCAGCTCCCAGAATTCCTCAGCTAGAGTGCTTGGCTGAGGAATTCTGGGAGTTGAAGTCCACAAGTCACAAAAGGGCCATGTTTGAAGAGCCCTGCCCTAAAGAGTTGACACCTTTATATATTTGTAGTTATTTCTGTACCTTGAATGTGTGGCAATTTAGCCATTGCTAGGAGGCTGCGTAGCAAAGTTTGGCTTGTGGTTATTGTCCCAGCAGTAAAGAGAGCAAGCACAGTAATCACAAGATCTTCAAGAGTGTAGATTCCCTCAGATGAGTTCTGCTCCTGAAAAGAAAATAGAAAGGGAAACAGAAGGATGAAAATGGGATTGATTTAAAGTAATTTATGAAACTCTTCATAGTGTTTCTTTCAGTTAAAGGAAACTTAACTGACTAACTTTAGAATATATAGGAGAATTTTTCAATTGTAAAGCATTTATGCAATCACCATTTGATGCAGAGAGGAAACAATTTGCCTGTCTGACCTACCTATCAAATATTTACCACAAGAAATTACGAGAATTAAAGGTTGTTATTTAGAGCTGGACAAAAGCAACTCTTAAGCTGTATGGTGGGAAAACTGGATTAGATCTGAGCATAGAAGCTTGAATGTTACATCTGAGAGACTAATTCTAATAGAAATTGCTCCTGCAAGATGAATTATTATCTTTATATCACCTATTAAGAGTGTAGAAGAGGTGTAAATTAGCATGTAAAGCAAATGTCTATACTTATTCATTTTTAATTATGTCGGGCATAGGAGTACATGTTAATAAATGGCAAATTGAAGTAATAAAAAGGGGGATAAATATTTTCATATTCTTTCATACAAGATGAACTAGTTTCATCTTAGATACATATTGGAGATATTTAGACAGTTATGCAGAGATGGTATCTATGCCTACCTTCTCCATTCTGTGAAGGAAGCAATCAATATAGTCACACGCGTTCTGGGGATCCAATGTCTTCTTGTGCAATTCCATTTTATCACGGATATAATCATAGACTTTTTCTGTCTCAGACTCGATATGTCGTCCAAAAAAGTATTCCATTGTTTTTGGAAAAGTATTGTACACCTGTTGCAGAGTTGACGTTAAACAGTATATGTTTTTAGACCATAATGGTGAAGGCTTAATGCCCAAAATATTCAGAGATTAGTTTTTAGTCTGATATTGTTAATTATCAAACCTCAGCTAGGTGCCAAGACCAAGAAGACAGGTTTCACAAGAATTTCAGTAAGCTATCTTTAATTTTAGTGTTGAGTAAATACAGTGTCTTAGGAACTACTGCATGGTAGGAATTTTTATTCATAATAAGTTGGTTAAAAAGGAATCTCTTTGACAAGCCTTTTCCCCAGATCTTTCCTCACCTAGGCTGAGTTCCCTGCAGGATATATTCTGTCAAGGCCCACCCCAGCTATCCCATGAAGGGATAATGATGAAAATGATGACAGTTCTTGAAGCAGGGAGGAAAGAGGGACATAAGAATAGGGGAAATGTCTAAAAATGCCATGAGAAGAAGAAAGGTGCCTGTGCATAATTTGATATGATGATTATCAAATTATATATAGTTAAATATGTAGCATTGTACTTTTAAAAACTATTATATCTTTCAGTTTGATCACAATATTGATATTCCTCTTATATCACAAACCTAATAGCTTGGGGGATAATGCTATTGTCATTTCTTAGAACAACATGGAAATAGGTTTGAGAACTAAAGTTAACTTTTCAGTCAAGGGATGAAAAAATTAAGTGAAACATTACAATTAGGAGGAATCAACCCCTCCAGTGAAATTCCATGTTTGGCTCTCCCTGACTAATTAAGAAATGGGCAAGTCCTAGAAATAAGCAGGTCAGGGCCCACAGCAGTTACGAGAGAATGAAATGATCCTGTGGGAAATAAGCCCAGCCAGGAAAGAAGGTTTGCTGAGAAGCAATTTATATTTTGATGGCTCAGTCTTGCTGGACGTCTGGATTTGACTTCTCCTGCTTAGTAGCTCATCACATCTACAGTAATCTCCACATCCCTTATTTGGATATTCGAACACAAAGAGAGGCCCACTAGTAAAAATTAGTGTTTATAGCAGGAAGAGCATCAGAGAGGAAAAACATACCTGTCCTAGGAAACTAGTCAGAAATCTTATTTGATACTCCACAATCTGCTGGTTCTCTATGAAGGTTTGATCTTTGTAATCAAATCGATTGCCAAAGACGACTGCACAGATCACATTAGAAACAGCACTTGCCAAATTTCTTCTTGGGTCAAAAGGCTGCCCTGCAACAAAGGCCACAGACATTAATGGGAGGGATCAAAGAATGGGGAACTTCCCTTCCACAATTCTCATCACAGAACTTCAACAAAAAAAGTGTGTTTGGGTCAAAGAAGTTATTCAAAGATTTTATTGGTATTTTTTTAAATAAATAATATTAAATAGAAGAGCCTAGATATAATTAAATGAAAACATCTATCTTATAACCACTAGGGTTTTTTTTGAAAACTTTCTTGCTATCTTCTGTCAAGAATTGTTTTCTCACTCCTTTCTCTGCCCTTTTCTGCTCATGGTGGGTTTTTCCCTCCCTGTTCCTTCCCTTAGAAGTTTCTATTTCCAGTTTTCATTCTCCTGACTGTCTCTCCCTCCACCTTCTAATTTCTTTCTTCTTTCTTTTTAAAATATAATCCTATTATTTCATTTCTTTCCCCTTCTGATTCCAGAGATTTGTGCATTCATGATTATATTCAAAAGGGGCACAAATCTTTAGAGGAATACTATTTATGACTATATGTTTTCCTTTCTAGTTTTGGATTACCTATGTCATTCATCCATAACTTCTTTTGCTGGCTCTTGAATTTCCCTGATATATAATCATGTTCAAATGAATTGTTTAAACAGTTTTTTTGGCTTCTTTTCCCAGTTTTAACTGAGCACTCTATTCCCTCAACACTGTCTCCTTCTAATCTATCCAACTCTTTTAATATATATATATATATATATATATATATATATATATATATATATATATATATATCCCATTCACATTTTTTTTCTATTTATTTTTTTAAATCTCCTTCCAGAAAAGACTTGTCCATGGAACATAATTTTCCAAGATGCTACATCTCCTGGAAAAAAAAAAATTATATCTGTCAAGCAGGAGGCAAATCAGGCGATCCAGGCAGTTGAAATGGGTATAAAGATTTATTGTAACCTTAAGCTCTCTACAAGAATCTGAACTAATAATGGCCAAAGGAAATTAGCGGGAGATAAGAGTAGAAAGATTCAAGATAGGCTGGATGTAGATCTCTTGTGGGCATGAAGGGACTCATGACTGATGATTTGTTTGATCCCTCCCTTGGGATCAGCCTGGTCATCTCCTACAATAGCCTTAATTCAAATCCACGCCACCTCACAGATCTCCATCACTCATGCAGTTGATTCTTATCCATATTTTCCTTACCTCATTTATTTTACACGCATATATATACCTATCTAAGTTTTTCTTTATTTTGTGCACTTAAGCACAGATGATTTGAGTTTCAGTTTAGAATCTAGTTTTCCTGTAACTTCACATAAAACAACAAACACTTTCCAGTTTCATATTTTAAAAGATAATAGTCTTCCTGATATGATTCTTCTGTGGGAGAACAGGTCTCAGTTTCTTTAGACGACCTTTTGTGGCAGCCATTTCCTTCACCAGACAAAGAGCTTCCTCCTGCACCCTCTCAGACATTCTTTTCTTCCCCATCCCAAAATCTCGCAAGGTGGACAGTGTGACCCGTCGCAGCTCCCTCCATTTCTTCTCATCATTTGTAGATATTCCTGAAACAAAAGACACCAAAAGGATCATGATGTTGGTCAATTCTCAGCTTTTGTGGAAGAGCATGTTTCGATATAATATTTCAGGCACTTTTCTTTTTCAAATCTTTGTTTCAATCATAGGTGAAAGAGGCTACTACACTGCAATAAATTATGCATCAGAGAAATGTCCTTCCTCACATTTAAAGTAAACAAGGCTTGATGTTTGAAATACCAATGAAGCAAACTTCACAGTTGCCATCTTTCCATTCTTGACTGCTGTCATAAGTGTGTTATAGATAGAAAGAAATCCCTACACTAGACATGGAACTCTATACTGAGATGCCGTTTTCAGTAAGCAGAAGAAAATTGGAGTCGTTTTGAGTTGTGGATTTTATTTTATTATTATTATGTGGATTTTATTTTATTATTATTATTTGCTGTAGAGGCTTTATTGACAAAAATAAATCACTTCCAATTATGTATGTACTAGCTTGCTTGATTGTGTGCTAACAAGTTACTCTCAACTCTTAGCTACCTTTAGATTTCCTCCAACACAATCTATCCCTAACCTAATTCTTCAGGACTTGTAAGGGTACATTTGTCATCATTTTAACTAAGTTCATTGACGTTGCAAATGGCCATCCTCTTCCTTTTATCTTTCTCACCATTATACCCTCCTCTAGGGAGGTAGACTTTTGAACCATACTATATGCCTGAAGAATTATAATTTTAGTGTGGTTATTTATGCTTTGAGTGGAAATTCTGAGCTGATTTGCTCAATGAGCTATTTGTTTCTTATTTTTGGATGTCCACAATGTTCTCAGAGATTTTATCCAACATCAAAATCAATATTCTTTCACTCCTATTTATTCAAAGTCCAAATTGCCAAAGTATCCTCTTTGAAGTCTGCCTTCCCAAAGGACCAGTTTAAAGGTGAGATTACTTTTTTTTTTTTTGAATGTAAGGAACAACCAGAACAGATTTCAGAAGTGATCAGGGGAAGCGAAATGATGAAAAAAAGGTGTTCCTCCCTCTTCAAAAAACATGACCAGATCAACCTCTTTACAAAACTTCATTTCAAGTGAAACTTTCATAACTATCAATAATATTAAGAGCATTAAAATAATTTTGAGGTAGATGGAAAATTGCCATTAAGAGAAATTACTTATAAAATTATTTATACAAAATTAAAAAGAGCAACAACAAATAAAGAAATAAAAGCGAATCAACCTTTATTTTGGAACACTCGTGTGTGAAAGGGCGTATTAGTTCGCCCACCAAATTCTTCTGCTTGATTTATCAAAGCATCTTTTACCACCTCATATCCACAAAGAGCAACCATTGGTTTTGATCCAATCCAGATAGTAAATATAGGTCCATACTTTTCTGTAAGCTAAAGGTAAAATTAGATGAAAACCCAGTTAATTAAACGATAAAGCATTTTTGGGTGAAATTATTCTAAAGCATGCTTGAAATATTTCTTAAATTCATAATAGAGAAATCATGTTGAATCTAACCTTTAATAATTCTTAGTATCTACAGGGTTCATCAATTTGATTGGATAAATTGCAAGTACTGTATCTCCTAGCTGGAGAGATGATGGGAATGAGATAATCACAATTTTGACTGTATAATACATTTCTGCAAGTAATCTGGTACTACAAAATATATGATAGCAAGTTTTGCTTGTAATCACATATTTTAATGAACTTTGTAACCTCCATTGTGTGTTTATCAGACTGTAATTAGGTGACTTTAAATTAAAATTCCTACTGAAGATGCACAAGAGCCCCTAATAAAATTGGACTCTTATAAAAGAAAATCAAACTCCTTAAACTAGGAAAATGTGGATATAACTTTCCAAATAATCACCTGAAAAAGCAAAGAAATACAATAGTTACCTTTTTATAGGATTTTTTTAGAGGTAGTACATCTTGCTGAAAGAGGTTCCCCAGAATAGGCCATGGAGTAGGTCCAGGGGGCAGCTGCCCTTTTTTCTTGTACATTTGGAAAGATGAGAAAAGGGTGAAAAGTATACAGAGAAGAAGCAGAACTCCTGCCCATGTCAGCTCCATCCTCTCCTCAGTTGTTTTCCTCTTCAAAAATCCAAAAAGCTGTTTAAAGGAGACAACGTTGAAAGAAGGAGACCAATTGAATCCCCAATCACATCTAAATTCTTCACTTCCTCTAACCTTTACATACCTCCTTATTTACATTCAGCTCAAATTATTCTTTCACCTCTATTAGTATAGGAGAGTTACTTATCAACATTCTTATCTTTGGACTGTGGACAACTTTGGCTAAATCCTTAAATAAACAACTCATTTTAAGCACTCTCTCTTATTTGCTGACTATACAATAACTTGTGAAAGAGTAATTAATTAACTTTTGCTACTGAACCCTGTGAAACTTACGTTTTTCTTTTTCTTTCACTGAGTTGTCACAGCCCTGAATTCAATATTATGATCATAAGTAAGTACAATGTTGTCATGACCTTTAACTGGGCAAAATGGTGCATCATGGGGCAATATTTTTTGTGAATGAAGGTGAATATACATGTCCCGGGATAACGTCACCTGTAGTCACATTCAATGTTTGGATGAGCCCATATTGTAATTGTTATGTCCTGGGCCTGCTGAGTGACTCAGCAGGTGTAGGAAGCTGCAGAGACGCCCGGGCAGACCACGTGAATGCCTGGGACCATACAGGCTGTCTCCAGCCTATTGCGCATGCGCAAGGTGGGAGAAATATGTTGCATTGATTGGTTGACACTGTCCCTGAAAAGGATTATAAAAGGAATCCGTGCCATTTTGTTTTGGTTCTGTTGGTGATTAAATAAAAAGAAGACTGTTGTTACTCCTGCCTCGTCTCAATGCCTTTATGATTGAAACAGAACAGTAATGACGGCCAAAAAGACTTTGTTACCTGTAATTGATCTGGCCACAGTGGCACATACCTTGATTCAAGGTTGTCTCAGCCTTCCATCCTTCCGAGGTCGGTAAAATGAGGACCCAATCAATCAATCTGTTTATTACAGCCATAAGGCCAGACATAATCAAAATATAACAACAGTGACAATTTTACTTCCATATTTATAGAATATAAAACCATCAAACAATCAATGTAATAATAATCTGAAATTCTAAAAATAAAACATCATATTAAATTTTTTCAGACCTTGATAATGGTGCGACGTATTGTGCAAATAGTGGCACAAAATTGGCCAACCTGAATTGATATTTTCGGATCCTTATCCAAAAGTAGCAACTTTAGATAAAATTCATATCCCCTACCTGGAAACTTCTTCAATATTGGATATATAAGAATCTATTTATATAAAGAACAATGAAGCAGCATATGGCTTAGGGTTTCTATAGAGTCATCACCACATGGACACAACTGAAGGTGCATAGGAATGCCCTTAAACCGTCTAAAAAGGACTGCCGAGAGCAACACATCCAGCCCTGGCTAAGGTGAAAGCTTTACGAAATTTCAAAATTGTAATGGAAAATAGATAAGACGCTGGGGAGAATCCTTCTGGAAGCAAGTGACAAATATTGGAATGTGCCACCTTACTTAAGTTTGTTTGGAGATCAATATCCCAGATACGTTGATTCAAGGCAGTTCTAGCATTATCAAATCCTAATGAACACAGACTTTCCATAGAGAAGCCCAGTGATTTAATTTTATCTAGTGCTTTTTTTCCCCACGATGATTTAAAATGACCTATAAATACTAACGGGGCTAACCCTACTATTTCCACCTGTAGGATGGCATTTTTAACACTTTTAGGTACCATCAGTATGGCTCTAATAAACTTATGTTGAATAATTTCAATAGCATTAAGCTTTGCAAATGAACATATTTGCGAGCCATACAGGAGCTGAGGGAATGCCTTAGCTTGGAAAACCTTACAATCTGCCGGGATGTAGTAAGCTCCTTTAGAACAGCGGTTCTCAACCTGTGGGTTGTGACCCCACTTGGGGTCAAACGACCATTTCACGGGGGTCGCCAAACAACACAGTCCGCCATTTTTCCCCCTTTTCCTTAGCTGTGCTACTCCCTTTTATTCTATTGGCTCTTGAATAGAGTCTAATTCTATTGGCTTTCCAAAGCCAATAGGAATTGTCCAGGCTGTCTCTGCCCTGCTGAGTCCACCAAAAGTTCCATTCTGCAAACGGTGCTGCAAGTTGTCTGCAGCAAAGGCGAGCTGTCTGGAAGTTTCCACCTCTCCCTGCTGAGCAACTACTAAAAATGTAAGTAAAAGAGGGCCAAGGGTGGGAGGTGCATGGGGCCCGGCGGATGTCTTACTTCCCTTGGGCTGGGCCAGCTAGTGACCCAGCCGGTGGTCTCCCTGCGCCGTCGCTGCCCCTTGCCAGCTATGCCTCGGCCAGTGCAGGGGGCGGCACCATGCATGCGTGGCGCTCCCGGGCAGGGAAAGTCCTCGACTTACGACCGGTTGGATAGTCCTCGACTTACGACTGGTTGGGGGTCAAGGCATTAAAAAGGTTGAGAACCACTGCTTTAGAATGATAAAATTTTATGATAGCTGATGAGGTGCGCTGTGCAACACTTGCCAGATAAAGAAAGTGAGTATGCCAGGATAGGGAGTCATGGAACTGCACTCCAAGATATTTATAGGTACTCACCTGTTCAATTGGAGTCCCATCAGTTTGTTATTTATGGATCTTATGATGGTAAGAGGCAAATAGTAAAACTTTAGTTTTTTCAAAATTTATTAATATTTTGTATTCTATGCAAAATAAAGCTAATGCCCTAAGTGCTTTTCTCATTCCCACCTGAGAAGTGGACAAAATAACTATATCATCGGCATACAACAGTGCTGGAATTGCACAATCAGCCAAGATAGGTGGATAATGGGCTGGAGCAGCAAGCACTTTCATTCTTGGATTTAGGTACAATTTTAAAAATTGGGGAGCTAATATGCAACCTTGCCTTACAACTCTATAAGTTGGGACTGCTTTAGATGAATGTCCCCAGGGGGAACATCTGATTTTTAGAGAGGTATTTGAATAGAGTGACTGAATGAGAACCAACAGCCTTTTATCAATCGTGGAATGTCTTAGACTACACCACAATCTCTCCCTTGGTATTAGATCAAAAGCTGACTTAAAATCAACAAAAGTTGCATAAAGAGAACCATGAGAGGGAGTAGAATATTTTTCAGCCAAAGGTGCAAAATTAGACAATGATCCAGTGTTGAACAGTCCTCCCTATTACAATGGCCTGATTCCAATCGGTGGAAAATGTCCTATGTTATTAATATGAGTGAATAGGATGGCTAAAACTGGGGCCCACCAGTCTTTATTTTCCCTTATTAATTCTGGGGGGATAAAATCCCCTCCGGATGCATTACCTGATTTCAACTGGGCAATATGGATACTGGAGGCCAATCCGGGAAGTCATTATAAGGGGCGATCACTTCTGAAATTACAGCAGGAATCCGCTTAAAGATGTTTTTAAAATGATCCTCCCATTTGTCAGCAGATATTTGTGAAATAGGGCCAAAACTTCTATTTGTAAAAGACTGATTTATTAAATGCTAGAACAAAGTAGAATTTTAGAGCTTTGCTGCTGAAATTAGATTACTCCAATTTTCTTTTATAGCCTGTTGTTTCTTTATCTTTAAGAGATCTTTATAATTTTTTTGTGGTCTTGAGTAATTTAGAAGCATTCACCAAATTTTCCTGGCGAAAGGAAATTATTGCATTTAAGAGAGCTTTTTTTTTGCTTTAATGCAATCACTATCATACAAAGATTTAGATCTTTTATGCACATGCACAAATAAGCTGTTGTAAATCTTGTCGGGGGGGGGGTTGGAGATTAGTGGTAATTGATTGATACAACGAAAATGCTTGTTCATATGAATCAGATGACCAAATCTGAACATGCATATGAAGCAGGGGCTCTGAGGTCAACATTTCAGCCATAGTTTTGGCCAGTTCTTGAGACCATTTAATTTTTACTTGCCCCTTTATTGTAATATCGATGGACAATGTGCCACTTCTAATAATTCAAAATTTGTCTTAGCCTTAAATGGACAGATTAATGGAAAGTGGTCACTATCAAGGCGCATTCCAATATAAAAGTAAACTATATGCTGTACAAAGTTCCGAGAGATCATAATATAATCCAGTATACTGGCTCCCTTAGGACCCCAGAATATGAACTCTCTGTTTAAATCACCTCTAACAGAGCCATTAAATAAGACCAAATCTAAACTATCCACAAATTGATCCAGACGAAATCCTGCACTATTACATTTTTCATCTTTAGATTGTCTGGCTGCTATGAGGCCTACATCAATTTTAGGGGGCACTGGCCACTTAAAATATGTTTGTAGGGAAGCATCAGATTTGCCAATGCGTGCGTTAAAATCCCCAGCTATTATTATAATTGAGTTTGGGTAATGCCATGATAGCAAATTTACATAGGGATCAAACTGATCCCACAGCTTGTTTATTTCTCTATGCCCACGAAATGGAGGGAAATAGGCATTAACCAATAATACAGTGCAAGATTTGAATCTAAGTAAAAGGGCTAACGCCATATTTGAGCAAGACTCAAGCATAGATACTGAAACACTGAGTTTAACAGATACCATAGAACTGATGGTCTGTCCTTTTTTATGCATTCAGAGTAAAGGGAATATAATCAAAATTGTGTCATTCTCGTTTGTTGATTAGGGCTAGTTTTCAGAGGTCTGGTAGGCGGGAGGTCTCGTCACATTTATTCATGTTGTGGGGGTGTTTTTCTATTTTGATGGCTTCCATAATTATTCTCTTCTTGTGGTGTTCAGTTTTGGAGATTAGTTTGGTTCCTTCAAAACCAATTTCATGTCCTGTAGCTTTAAGGTGCTGGAAGAGGGAGGAAGTTTTTTCTTCTTTTCTGGCTGCATTCTTGTGTTCTGTGATGCGTGCATTTATTCTCCTATTAGTTTGTCCAATGTATGTGGCTGGGCAGATTTTGCATGGTATTTCATAGACTCCTTGGTTTTCTAGCTGGATTATGTCTTTGGGGTTTCTTAAGATGTTGGCTATTTTTTGGTTGGTGCCGAAGGCTGTCTTGATATTGTGTTTGTGGAGAATTTTGCTGATTTTATCTGTGGTGCCTTTGATGTAGGGGAGGAGGGCGGGAGAAAACCCGAATAACCAAAGACCTACATATATAGTAGGCAAAGAATATTTCTTCCAAAATTGTCCAACCAATAACCTTGCCACCGTAATAAGATTCAACATTAAAATA